TTCTCTAATAAAGCTCGCCAATATTTTCCACAAGCTATTCTCCGCACACTCTACTTTTCATTGTGTCATTGTCACATAGGTTACTGTCTGGAATCGTGGGGTGTGACGTACAACAGTTATCTAAAAACTCTTGAGCGACTTCAAAAGCGTACACTGAAAATCATAAGCCAAGGTGAATCAGTAAGTAATATTTTCCAATCACAACGCATTCTCTCAGTTCCGATGTTGCGTGACTACAAAATTGCTGTTTCAGTAAATAACATAATTAATAGAAATTCACCTTTGCCTGCTGATCTTTTTTCAATTCCTAAACGCAATACGCGACATGCTTCGAATGGTAATTTCAATCTGCCCAAATGTTTTAATGTTTACGGAGAAAGACTGATACAGTTTAGTGGAACAAAAATATGGAACACGGTCCCCCTAGAGATTAAAACGGCACGTAATTTCAGCATGGCATGTAAATCATTTTTTCTGTGGAGTCAAGACATGTAAGCATGTGTGTGTGATTCGATTTTCATTGTATTTTTTTAATAAGTGCCTATGTATAGAAACTAGCTGCAAGCTAATAAGTATGCATATCTGCAAGAAAAAATGTATTACTGTGTTATCTGTATCACATGATTGTTTTTTTTATGTTGTTACCTCAGAGCTGACCTGTACACTTTTTTATGTTGCACATTGTATTGGACCGTCCACTAGCCACTTTAGGCTATCGGTCCAAATAATCCCTGTAATTGCATATATCTATTTATGAAAATAAAGCTTCATTGATTGATTGATTGATTGAAGTATTCGATGGTTTATGCATGGTGTACATCACTTTTTGGAAAACCGTTTGTTAACAGTTATATTAGGTGATGTAAAATAATCAGGTTGGAAATACTTTGTAAAATATATTGTTTATGTTTCATATTGTACTTACATGTTATGTACTTGTCATCATTTCCGTGCTACTGCAATGTGCATGTACAGATCACCAAACATTTGTCTAGCCGTTCTCGTGGCTTTTAGCCTTGGCGCCCTTTCAGTTTCGTCTGGTAAAGAAAAAATTTGAATTTTGAATTTGTATTCCTTATTCATCATGATCATCATCTGGCTCTACATCACCATAACGTATGCACACGTTATGAAGAGTACAGCAGTTGATGATAAAAGCATTGAGTGAGTGAATAGTGTGCAACCCAAGGCACACAAGCTGCCCAAATCGCTTCTTGAGTGTGCTGAATGCATTTCTGATTAGAACTCGTGTTTATGAAAACTTAAAATTAAAACCTTTTTATTACTTCCGTCATGGCACCGTGATTCCTTGATTTGATTGATATGCGGGGTTTAACGTCCAAAAACTACCATATGATTATGTAAGACACCGTAGTGGAGGGCTCCGGAAATTTAGACCACGTGCGGTTCTTTAACGTGCCCCCAAATCTAAGTGAACAGGCCTTCACAGAATTTTTGCCTTCATAGAAAATGCAGCCGCCGCTGCCGGGATTTGATCTCACGACCTGCAGGTGAGAAGCCGAGTACCTTATTCACTAAACCACCAGGATGGGTGGCACCGTAATCCCTGTATGGTGTCAGAGGTATTGTCGCAGTGAATAAGCTGCCTCCCCCAATATGTGGTAAATACCTTGACATAAGGAAGCTTCCTCTTTGACAGTGGCGACAAGCTGAACACGTGAGAATCATGCATTTCGCATCAAATAAGCGCCCCTTATGGTCACAGATGGCTCGCAACGTTTGCGCAAGGTAGTGGTGTCTGCAGCAGTACGCTGGGGCAACTTCTTTGGCTAGGCACTGTGTCCTCAGATATGACCCATCTATGTAGCCGATGACAGCAGGCATTCCAGACACCATGAAGCAAGTCATACCCTTCCACTGAGTGACGTCATTCATGTGTAAGCAAGAAATGAGCAGTTGCAAAAAGCTTTACCACAAAATACTAGTTCTCTAACCTTGTTACTCCGTCATGGCAGAGCACGATATATTTGAGGTTGAATACGCGACATGCCAACCAAATTCGTCATTGACAACTGGTGAAGGTAACTTAAACAGCTGTCCACAATATATATTATTTTTTTTCCGGTCCACTCCTCATTTTGCAATAGTAAAATGGTAGAAAGAGCAAAAGAAAGCCCGAGCATTTTTCTCCGCGAGAATGCGGTTGCAAAACCAGACCTGGTAAGTATTGTAAGGGACGGCTGCACAGGAATGACAAAGCATGCAGCGCCATTCACGTGAAACTAATCGGTAATCATTCACGTGAAAATCCCATCCATCCATCCATTCATCCATCCATCCATCCATCCGTCCATCCGTCCGTCCGTCCGTCCGTCCGTCCGTCCGTCCATCCATCCATCCATCCATCCATCCATCCATCCATCCATCCATCCATCCATCCATCCATCCATCCATCCATCCATCCATCCATCCATCTTCCGGTGGATTCGTTCACATGGCATGTTGTAAAACTAGTATGGTATGACATGACTGCATAGCGAACACAAGCGACAGACTAACATGAAAATCATGTCATGGATGTGATGTAACATGACTACATACCACGCTCATGATGCGCTAGCGGCCGTTTCGCTAAGGTCACATATACCAAATTTGGTATTATGGTACGTCAATTGATGACAAAGGTATGTGACTGGTGCAAGCACGATAATCAGGAGATGCGTGTCATGTAACAACGTGACTACATGCCACGCTCATGATGTGCTGGCGGCCGTTTCGCTAGTTTCAGTTATACCAAATTTGGTATTACGGGACGTGAATGGAGGACGAAGGTATGATACTGGTGCAAACATGATAAACATGGGACACGTGTCATGTAACAACATGACTACATGCTACGCTCATAATGCACTCGCGGCCGTTTCGCTAGCTTCACATATGCCAAATTTTGTATTACGTGACGCCAATGAATGACGAAGGTGTGTGACGGGTGCAAACATGATTGTAATAAGATGCGTGTCATGTGAGAACATGACTACATGCCACAGTCGAGGCGCCAATACAATTCGACGTGACGCGGTGCGCGTGCTCACCAGCGCTCATTTCGTCGCACGCTGGTTCTGCCATATACTCGCAGGCGCGCGTCGCAGTGCGTTGCTTTGACACATGCGCGCTTCAGCACGTCCGGTGTCTCTCCGTCACGAAAAGAGGGAGGCGCAGTGTTGTCTGCGTAACGCATCGGCGTGAAATGCAGGATGTCGCATTTCGCGCTGGTTGCCATCGGGCCGAACCAACGGACGCTGATCGCGCCGGTCGCGTCTGGCGTCAGACTGTAGAGTGCTCGCGTTTTGCTAACGTAGTGTCACTGTGCCCATCGTGCGCGCAAGTCAACGCTGCATTAGGGTATACTGGGTCCTTTATGATGTGCTCGCGGCCGTTTTGCTAGCTCCACATATACCAAATTTGGTGTTACGTGACGTCAATGGATGACGAAACTATATGACTGGTGCAAACATGTTAATTCTGACAAGCATGTCATGTAAGAACATTACAACATACCACGCTCATAGCGTGCTCGCGGCCTTTTCGCTAGCTTCGCATATACTGAATTTGGTATCCCGTAACGTGAATAGATGACGAAGGTAAAGGACACATCCGAACATGATAATCATGGCACGTAAGTGATGTAGGGTATAATTTACCTTCAGCTCGTAACATTGTGCTGAACTTCAAGTGACATATCAACGTTTCTCATTCGTGCTTCACATATCATCCAAATCTTAATAGGTCACAGGACCTTACGCTCAGACTACTGCAGACCGACACGTACCCTAGCCCGAGATCCCTTCACGCTATTTATCCTGACGTGTTCCCCAATGACGCTTGCCCCGCATGTGGGGATGTATCCACGCTGGCGCACATGCTCTGGGAGTGCAAGGCAATGTACACTAACCCCAACACTACATCGGTCAGGTGGGAGGCGGCCCTACGCAGCTCCCTCCTGGCCGACCAACTTTGGGCCGTCCAGCAGGCCCGCGGAGCGGCCGATAGGCTTGGCCTAATGGTGCCGACGTGGAAGTCGCCCGCTGCGCGCTGACGCGCGCCTTGCAAGACCGCAATAAAGTTTCGCAACCAACCAAGGAATGAAGAACCATGTCCTGAACTTTGGATTAGTTTTTGAGACTGCCTTAGCTGCGTTCTTCACCTACTGCCCAGGCATAGACAATGGTATCAGGATGTTCCCACTGAAGATCAAATCGTAGTTACCCGCACTGCCATTTTCCTTCCTGATCTCCGTGTACGACGAGATTCGTCGGTACATATTGCGCTGAAACCCTGGAGAATGAATAGAGATGGACACCTACTTATGTACATTGCCCACGCGTAGTCTTCTTATCTCTCTTCAACAGACCTTTTTCGTTTCACTTTATATTTTTGTCAATGAACCTTCGTTTTACCATCACATTTTTTCTTTTATATAAAAAAGAATGGCAGAGGGGCTGCCCTGCCCCCCACTTTTTTCGGTATGAACGGGAAAATATGTACCAAGCCAACCAACAAAAGCTGGCACAAGCGCGGCACACTTTTCGCGTCTGTAGCCTTAGTGTTGTTGTTAGGAGGCAAGGAGAGAGAGAGGGGTAGGAGGGAAGTATTTATTGCACCTTCGTAGTTTAAGATGTTTGGTGGAAGCTGCTGCAGGAAGGAAGGATGAAGAGAGAACAGAATTGGAAAGAGAGGGAAGGAAAGAGGGAATGGACGAAGCCTTGAGAGACTTCGTCCATGTGTCAGTGCGCTAGAAAGTTATTGCCATGTGCTCTAGTACATACATACCAAGACGGATGGTGGTGGTGGGGGATGGTGTTGGGGTACCTGCATGGCCCGCTAACATATGTAATGGCTCCACCACTCGACCATTTGTACAATGAAAATCACAGTTCCTTGCTTTACTTTTCGCATTCCAGACGTAACAAGCAATTTCTCACTGCCGTATATTATCTTAAGCAGCGTGCATATTCAGGATGAGTTTGTGTCAAGGAAAATTGTTTTGAAACAGACAGTTTATTCGAAAAACGCAGCCACTAGTCAGTCACAGGGTGATCCAGGTGTATGGGTTTCCGAGATGAAGCCCTTTCAGAACTTCTCCAAATTTTCTGCACGCGCATGCAAGAAAACGAAAAGATACATTAGCCCTGCTTCGATAGACGTGATCACATTAGGAAAATGTCGAGGAAGTGACGTACGTACCCGGAGCATGGCGGACGTCCTCCACTGCCTGGCGATCAGCTCGAGGTTGGTCAGGTTGGCCAGAGAATCCTCTCCACGGTACGCAGGCGCTACGCGGCGCAACTGGGAGCGCCGCTCTTTTTCGCGCTCTGAGCGAACCAAGTCTGCGTCAATGTGAACAAAAATTTCATTCATTTGTATAATTACGTTTTGGGTAAGGCTTTCGAGCTACCGCAAGTGCCACTTGAAAACAAAGGGCTCAATGCTTTATCAAGGTTGAGGAATATTCGATTGCACTTAGAAATGTGGAATGGCGTATATGTCTCCGCAGTATTTTCACGGCGCCCAATTCGCCCAGCTGAGCATTTTCACATCGGGCATCAATGCCATTGTACTTCCCTAGCACTTCCGCGCAATATAGGGTGCGCAAGCTCAGTTCTTTCATTCCCGTGGTCTCGCTTGGCTTCAGCTATTTGTTTGCTGTACACAATTGTGCTCAAAATAAAATTGCGAGTAAAATACCGGTGAAACCTTGCACCAGCAACTATAGCACTTGATTAAAGCTGTGCTGCAAGTTTGGACGTGTAATACTTGAATGTAAAGAAATGCACAAATTAAATGTTTTCCGTTAAACCAGTTTTACAATGAACGCGACTTAAAGTTTTCTTTCGGTGTCACTTGTGTTTTTTGCAATGTTTTAAGCAAGATTTTTCAAGCAGTTGAATAGGATGCTTTTCAAGCATACTACGCGCGAAATACTAGCTCGTAGTCCTGAATAATTCACTGAATACTGGAGTTTTGAATGTTTTAAGCAGCACACATTTTTTCCAGCGAAAGCTGCATATGACTAGGCGAAACGAAAAACCACTCACCACGAGTTTCGATAATGGTCTCATTTGGCTGCGCGATCCGTTGCATCATCCTCTGCGTCAAACCCTAGGGCATGCCATTGACAGTACCGTTATTGGCAGCACTTTCTACGTGGTACCCAAGCACGCGCACTCTTGGAGGGGCCATCAGTGACGTCATTCGTCTCGATGCAGCCGGGCAGCCAAGCCCGTGCGCAGCAGTTTCAACTTACAACGTTCAAGTGGGGAGGGCATGAATCGCTCCCGAACATCAAAGAACTTTCCAAAGGCAGCACTGATAACTCATCCGCGAGAGAATTAACTTTCGAAGATCAAATGTAGCATTCCGGGCACAACAGAAGGCCCGGGTGGCTAAGCGCAAACAGGAGCAGCGCCCCTGGGATTCGGCAGGCCTCCGACCCGAATGCATTCGAGAATGGCAATCCGAAGAAGCGGCGTTGCGGGTAGAACAGTGTTTACGTGGCAATGCCAAAATGCGTTGGTCGGGCCAAGGCTCGCTTTCGGCGGGAGTCTCTGGAGCGGCACCGCAGTTTCGGCTGCGACGTCTGCAACCGCCTGTGGTCACACATTCCAGCTTCGTTGGATAACCATCTCTACGGAGTGCTTGGGCGTCGGCCTCTTTTTATTCTGGAGCTGCAAGAAACATGGCGAAGGCAAACCTTCGACGGAAATAAATGGCGTCTGAAGGAGGCAGTCGCCGCCTCATTTCTCATGTGTGCTTTAACTGATACCGAGGCACTTCCCCGTGTTCCCGACTGGGCTGCAGAATTTAGGTGTCTTTCTCCTCTTATAACCACTGCCACCACCACTGATCTCGCTCAGGCAGCACTTGATGCTCAGACGCACTTGAATGCGCATAGTAGCTGTTCTCACACTTTGCTTGAAGAGAGCGATGCAGTGATCGCCGATCCGAACTTCCGTGCAATATGTCTGCAAGATGAGTGCACGGACTCCAGGTGGCCCGAGCCCGGCCCTGCCCGCGGGCCGGGTGTGCGTACATAGTGACGTCTTCTGATGTCGGGCCCAGACCGGGCTCGGGCAACCATGTTTTTTATCATGTGGGCAGGACCAGCTGCAAAGCCAGAATCATGCTCAGAAATACAGACGTTGTGCTGGAATTGTTTTCCAGAACGTGGCGTTAAGCACACAATATGGACATTGTTATGATCTCTTCATGAAAACATCCTGCTGTCCTGCATTTCTGGTACTAAGCTTTTGGATGAACAAGTCAAAATGTTCCAAGCAATTGTATTACGCGGAAAAAAATTGTCTTGGCAGTTCGGGCCACTAGTGTGAGCAGCGAACGGAACTTTAGTCCGACGGCATATGGGTCGCAGGAACGAACACCGCGCTTCACTGAAGCCCAGATTATTAAACAGTTTTTTAGACGCCAACATGTCTATTCATGGAAGCTTTCGTATGTATCATGTTATAGTTTAACTTTGATACTTTGAATCATCGGCCCAGCCAAGAGGTGGCACACCCATCCCATGCCCACCCCCCTCTCCGAATATTTTATCGCTGAATTGATCATCTGCCTGTTAGCTCCCCCCTCATGATCAAGCCCCCCTCATAAAAATTCTACATATGACCCTACTGTGAATAAAAGCACCATAATATCAGAAAATGATATTTTATCACTACAGCAAAGCTTGATAATGTCGAGTTAACGGGGCTTTTGTTTTTGTACTTCGAGTTGGACCGAGGGGGCTTGCAGCACTTTAGGTTCGGGCTCGGGCACGCCTTCGAAACAGTCAACGAGCCCGTGCACAGCTCTAACCTTCCATACCAAATTTATTTAAGATGGAGTGACGCCATCCCCGTATAACGTCATTACCGTAATTTCTTCCGCCACTGCTCTTTGGCTTGCTGCAGGGGTGAGTCGAAGAGCATGTATTTCGCTGAGTGAACCCACCATGGTAGTCTAGTCGTTAGGGTGCTAGACTACCCGCTGGTCACGGGATAGAATCCCAGCCGTGGCTGTTTCAGTTCTAATAGAGACGAAAGTGCATGAGACCCGTATACCTAGATTCATGTGTTCGTTAGAGAACCCCAGGTGGTCGAAATTTCTCAAGCCCATCACTACGCAGTCTGTATCTTATGGTGGCATGAAAACGAAAACCTCCGCAATATTGTTTCTACGAGCGACTCGCTGCCATGCTTCCGCGTCTCTTTTGCAGGCAGCGCGAAAAGCGTTGCCAAGGTGACCAGGCCTCCCTCTCCTCCTCTGCTGGCTCAGTCTTTCCCCGTATTTTGCCAGCGACGGTTCGCGTTGCGTCGCGCTCGGAGTGGTCGACCACGGCCGCCTGGATTCGACAATCTAAGAATTACGACGTGGTGCTTGTGTGTAAGGCTGGATGAGAATGGGCTGTGGCTTTTGCGTTTCGCTGCATCCATGAAGTCTGGAGCAAGTCTCGACACGTCACCACGCTGCGCTGTATATATCTGGCTTCAAGATAGTCATGACCAACACACGACAGCAACAGTTGGGAAGGCCATTATGGCGGCCGAGAATACAACAGGCCTATCGGATATATACTTCAGTCCAACTCAGGGTAGAAAACAGCGCTGTATTCTAAGGCAAGTAGGTTATGATTCTTTATTCTATTCTACTTGTCGCGTGTGCAATACGGATTGCGCTTGCCGGCAAAGGGCTCGGTCGTGTTGTGTATCGCACGCACGAAATGCATCGCGAAGGTCAGCTTCGGTGTCCGCAGTTCGCCTGTGCTTTGCGATCGCCTGGAAATTGGCCGCCATTGCCGTCGGCCTCCCGTACACTCGCTCGTCGAGTGCTCGCCTGTCTTCGCTGCTGCGATGAGTTCTGGGCTGACGATATAGGGCTGAGACCTCGTCGCAGTGCCGGGAGTCGTTGAAAACACGTAGCGGGTTCTCGTAACGAGCTTGGTTGTAGTATGTCGCGCGCTGTAAGTGCACCAGCACGGTCTGGCGGGGCTTTCGCTAGCGTCAGAACTCAGTGAAAATTGGTCCCCATTACAGTTGGCTTCCCCGTCAGTCGGTCGCAGTAGCTCGGCGCTGTCCGTTGGCCGCGACGGCGGACTCGCGTTTGCACGCAGCACTCGCTCGAGTTTGTAGAAAAGGGCCGCATTACCGTCGATTTCTTCGGCGCTAGCTCCAAACCAGCTCGGCGCTGTTCGTGGCGGTGGTCAAGCGTACGCTCGCTCTCCTGTTCGAAGTTCACTGACGGCAGACACTCCGCGTGCGGCGCCGTGTTTTGTATCGCGTTCGGTTGCTGGAGCTGAACGACGTCGCTCGCTTAGGACTCGCTGAATTGTTGGCGGCACGGTGGTTCGCGGAGTTGTGGCTGCGGCCGCCGCTCCTAAGATCTTGCACTACGGAGATTGAAATGAGTCTTTGACGGTGTGTGACATGGTGAAATTATTAGCATGGCATATCTCACGTATGTTTTCATTTCACCTTGCAGGTATTTCTCATATGCATTTGTATTCATCATCTGTCACGTGTGACTCACTATTTTACATACTTATTGTGCAGTCGTGGGCACACTTCGTGCTGAAGACTGTCGCTGGCGTCTGCGATGTCTGTCATCAATCTCTTTCGTCAGAGCAGCTTCAGAAGGACTGTGCGAGATGTGAAGGTAAAGTTATGTGTGTGTCATATTTTAACGCTTTTTATATTAACGTGCACGTACTTGTCATATGCGTGCATCTTCATCTTCTGTAACGTGTGTCTAACTATTTTTACTATATTATTGTACGTACAGCCGTGGGAACACATCCGGCAGAAAGCTGCGTGCGCTGGCGTCTGCAATTCCTGTCATCTATTGCTTCAGTCAGAGGAGCTCCCCAAGGAGTGAGCAAGATTTGACAACGAGACTGGACTTGTACACCTCACCACAAATTCACTTAAAAAATGGAGAAAGTTCATGTGTATGTAGAAAAATAAAAGATTTCGATGTCTCCCTCTTGTCTTTCGTTGATTGATGTGTGGGGTTTAACGTCCCAAAACCACGATTTAATTATGGTAGTTTTACCACCATAATTAATTACCACAACATTGCCGTCCTACTACGTGCACCGTCACTCGGACCAATATGGACAATTTGACGCTAAATGTAGCAACACTCGCTCTCTCTATCGACACAGTCTATAGGGCCACTTTGCGCGTCAGCGTCTGTCAATGACCGTGCTAGTGCCGGACGCCCCGATACCATCTAAAGCAGTTTGCGCGGCGCAATCGATGAAACGACTCCCTTCCACACCCGTGTACATCCATCATACACCGTGGAACTTGGGTTTGGGACGGCGACGACTTCAACGTACCTCTGAAGCCACCGGTACTTGATGCGTCTAGCTCTGACGCCACTGTGTGCTCGAGCGTCCTGTATCGGAGCGCACGGAGCGATCTCTTTTGTTGACAGGGCCGGGACCATTACATTTCCTGGGTGTGCTGATAACTGCCGATAGGGCAACTTATAAGACGGCCAATAGCACATCTCATAGAAAGTCTATGGCTTTTAATGTCGAGTGCGGCAGTTTAAAAAAAAACTGCATGCAGGCCCGCTTTTGGGTTACGTTTCTTTTCAAACCTGAAAATGAGCGTGAGGTGCCGTTTCACAGTATTCGTTCTTACCTCTGATATTGGTTGCTCTGCTATCTTTCGTGGTGCTGAAAAACGAGAAAAGAAAGAAAAAGCTGTGTGTTAGTGTTGTTATAAGAGATGGAAAAGGGGCAAATTGTAGGGAGAGTCGTGTGTGTAGGCTTTAGGCCGAAACTTGAAGTTGCGTTATCAAAAAAGAATTGTAGCCCAGATATGAAACGTAATTCTGAACAGATTGCCAGCCTTAATCTCTTTCTCTGCAGCAGCATTAGCTCTCAAGCTTGACGGAAAACTTAATTTTATGGGCGAGTGACCCAGTGCCTGTTGGAGGACAATTATTGTGGAATCACCTGTAGCTAATATTTAGTGAAAATTTAGTTTAGTTAGGAAGACAACAGGCTGACACGTTGCATGAATAGTTTAACGCGCGACATTGCCTTAACGTGTGAGAATATAATCAACCGTTTGACGAACATTTATTCGGCGAGGTACATCACTAGACAGTGTACGTATTCCGTACCAGGTCTGAGTGAGTCAATCTGAACTTTTATGTCAAAGCTGACTTAGGGTGCCCATTTTCACTAACACAATGAATGCTTCGGTTTACCGGTGTAACGTAGCTTAGTGCACAGCGCTGCAAACACAAAGGATATAGAGACGTGCGGGATCCTCTCTGCCGGTACTCCCTGTGATTTTGTGGATTACGATGCACTCATTTTTTTACGCATGTCTGTCATAGGCGGTACGCGCTCGCTTTGCTGCATTACAATAAAATACAATGTACAGGGCTTCACTGTCTCAGAATGTGCTCTGGAACGGAATCCTTAGGACAGAACGAATGGTGCCTACCGGTGACACGTGTTCTGAGATGCTTTAAATTAGGGTAAGCGTAGCCGCCAATGATGCACGCACAAATGTACCCTATCCCAACCACCCAAGCGCCACCCGAACAGTCCGGAGCGAGCCGCTTCAGTTTTTTAATTTAGGGTGTGGAGTTCTGTACGTTCGTCAGTGCGCTAGCTGCAGGTGTAGGTGACGTAATCTGTTCCAGAAGTACCACGGCATCTCCATTTCCAATATTTTTTGCTCATTGGAATAAACGCAGGAAAACACGCATATGGTTAATTCTTCACGGCAATGCGTTCGGCGACCTTTAAAATTATCCGCGCCTTCATTTTCTCGAATAGATATTTATATGAAACATCTCGAAAAAAATTAGATCGCGAACGAGTTGGACACAGGTAACGAAGTACGAATATTGTATTTAGTAAATATTGTTGTATCCATTAGTCGTTGCCCCGGACGCCATCACACCACCAAGATCGGCTGGATACACACGCCTCCAGGGTACAGTGTACTAGAAGCTGGTACATCGTACCGCTAGGGAGAAGTGACGACCGCACTAGATAACCACGCACTCGTATATGCTACACTATAACTGCACCTTAAAAACAATAGGCGTTTAAAAATTAAGCTGCGGCGCTCGAACTACGGCGTTCCTTAGAACCTACTGAAGTTCTCGAACGTTAAAATTGATACTTTAAGTACGGTGCATGATAGAGCCCACCCAGCGTTCTCGGCGAGGCTGGTGCCAGTGCTGCGGGTTTGCGGGGGATGATCAGCGGCAGCAGAACAGACGCTCTTGTCAAACGAACTGCTGATGAAGCTGTCCATGACGCCGTCCTCGTCGAAGTCATCGGTGGAACACCCGGTCGAAGCATCGGCAGTGGCGGTCCGTTGCGCACGTGACCCACCGGTTCGGCTGGCATGCGACCGGTCACTGTCGGTGTGCGAGGGCCCAGGCCGCGACAAGTTTTCGACGCACGTCCCCGAGCACCGTTTGAATGTAAACCTGAAAAGAAAGGTTAAAACACGAGGTGAAATGAAAATAGAGTGTGAAAAAAGGTCAACTTTCCGCAAAGGCAAAGCAATGAACGCGAGAGCAACAAATTGGAAGGTCACGTGCAGAATGGAGAGCAGATCAAAACGCGCCCGACGTTTTTGGCGCACAAATTATGCATGAAACGTACATACAGGTACAAATGAACGTGAACAAGCGCCTCAGTTATTACTTCGCTGTGTCTAAAAAGCGCGCCCTTTGTTCAAACCGAGACTGGGCAATCATTGCAGTGACCTTTGTGAGCCTGGTAACTACAACAGGATCATTCCACTAAAAGCCCAAGGCTTGCCAAGATGTACGATCCCCCCCCCCCCCCCCCACCAGATAAGAGCGTGCAAGTTAGCGTCTTCCCACCTCCTCCTCGCGGGGCAAAGTACGTGTGGAAGGTCACGTCGTGACAATGTGGCACGCGCTCTCATTGAGCCATCTTGCTGGTAATGCTGAAAGGGAGTTCCCCCGAGATACCCGTCACCAGCGATAAGTGGTAGATATAAATAACTTGCCATTTGAACGTTGCTCGGGGGTTAACGCCTCGCACCCACTTCAGAAGTTCCACGTTCGCTTCCGCGCACCGGAGTCGTTTTGTGGAATGTTTTTTTTGCGTTTTCATATTATATATATATATATATATATATATATATATATATATATATATATATATATATATATATATATATATATATATATATACGGTGAGTGACGGCGACGTCGACACCAGCGGCAAAATCGAGTCGAGCGTGTTTATATCAGTGCATTCGCAATAAAACTGAACGTGTTATGTTTGCTTGACATACCGCATATTTGGGATGCAGTTTTTAGATGCGAAACAGCTCTTTGACTATGCTCTGTAACGCTGCCCCTCCATACGAGTGACGTCACGCTCCCGTCTCTCCCTCGGCTGCCATGCGCTCGCTCCGCTACGGCGACTGCCGCTCGCAATACTGCCGGCTCGTTGGTTCACGTGATAAACCTGACGCGCGCCTAACGTACGCGCTGAAACATGTATGTACGTGTCACCTCTCTCCCGCGCCAGCCTCCCCCCGCTCATAACGAGCGAGCGCTCATCGAGTGGAAGCCCTGTTTTGTCTCGTTTATCTGCGATGGAGAGAACGTCGAAAGACGACGCTCCTTCTTCCGCTAAAACATCTACCGATCAGATTACGCGTAACCTGTCGTGGCCGACATTGCGAGGGTTAGCGAAGCCGAGCGCGTTTACGAATTACGAAGTCGTTTACTCGAGTGAACGCTCCACGGAGTTTCGTTTAAAACCGTTCTTCCAGCACCCGCGTCGACGCTTGTTTCAACCCGGTTAACACCGTGTGTACCCCTGCTGCTTCGCATCAGATAAGAGTTCCTTTCGGGGAGATGGTCCAAGTTTTTTAAAGACGATAGTCTTTCTCGAGTACCTTCGACACAAAAATTTTGGTCTGTCAGTCCATCTGTCTGTCTGTCTACATTTGTTTGTTTTTCCGCCCTTAACGGTGCCCTAAACGGTACCAAAGTGACCAAATGATACTCCAAACAGCCGACCCCATCCGCAGCACCCACCGATATTGCTCAAGGTTCAGCGTTCATGCTTGTGCAATTCTCAATTAAAAAGCGAATATTGTGCATATCTCAGGCACCATAACAACACATCAATAATATGTATATGTATTTTTACTAGAAAAAGCATACATGAGTAATTGTAAGGACCATGGCGTTTATCACACTGCGCTGACCACGCAACGCTTGCACTAAAAGGCAAGTGTTTCCAACGCTTTGCTAAGACGACACGGTGGTGGCACCTACCCGTTGCCTTGCGTTCTACGCCATATCACCTCAGAGACGGGCGTGCACCCCATGCGCTTCATTTTCCAGGATAAATGCCAGGTAGCGCTCATGTCTGACGTGTGACGTGACTTGATACGCTCGTTTGCCTCCGCTGCATGCTCGAGTCACTCTAACGCAGCGCCTCCAGAATACCATCCACAATTTTCTTGCGATGAACATCAAATAAAAATTTTGGTCACTCTCTCCAGACGCATGGCTATCGTCTTTCGACAACATTTGCAGCGTAACATGTAGATACGGGGCCCATTTTTGAAGGTTACGTATCAGGGGTGCAAATGGAAAAGGTGGGTTAGGGAGAAAGAGGTAAAAACTAATCAGTAATTAGGTTTTGGCAGTTGTTAGCTTTTCAGTTCCAAAAAAGGCATTGTAATTAAGAGAGGCACCGTAGCAGAGGGCCCCGGAAATTTCGACCAAACAAGGTTTATTAACATTCACTAAAATCTAATCTCGCAAGCCTCTAGCATTTTGCCGCCATCAAAATTTGGGATTTGATCCCACTCAAGTCTAAATTTTTATTGATTTAGTTATTTATTTCATTTATTTAAAACTCTGCGGTAACTTGGACCATAACAGAGTGACGCAATTCATTAATTAACATGTGGGGTTTAACGTCCCAAAACCACCCTAGATTATAAGAAACGCTGAAGTGGAGGGCTGCGGAAATTTCGACCACCTTGGCTTCTTTAACGTGCACCCAAACCTGAGCACACGGGTCTACAGCGTTTTCGCCTCCATGGGGAATGCAACCGTCGCAGATGGGATTAAATCCCTCGAGCCGAATACCTCAGCCACTAGTCCACCGCGGCGAGGCAGGAGAGGGGTAAAAAAAAAAGAACGCGTACGTTTGGGCAAAAAAAAAAAAAAAACAATACAACAGTGGCGAAGCAGTCAGAATAGGTTACAGAACACTTCAAATCCAGTGCTCTTCAAACCATACTAAGGATTTTTTAATTACAGCTTCGTTAGACAAGTTATTTCATACGTTTATTATACGAGGAAACAAAGAACATTTAAAAGAATTCACTTATCGCATTAAGGACGTAATTGTTTGTGAATGTTGCATTCTAGTTGCGTAACCTGTAGATAAAATTAAGATATGTAATGTGTTAGTTTTGTAATGACCACTGACCGACTCATGAAAGCTTCAGTGTACAGAAACGGTTTCTTCCAGTAACCAGAAATAAATTTTCTTCTTTTATCAATTCGCTGAAAGGGCTGGGTCCAAATGAGTTGTAAATGAATCCTACAGTCTATTTTTTATTCTTTCTAGTTTCCGACGTTAGATTTTGTGAAGAGGTTCCGAATTATTACGGACTACTCTAACATGGGTGGATAATAAACTTGTAGGTAAGCAAGCGTACTTGAGGGGCAGCTATAGCATGAGTGTGCGCCTTAAAAGAAACACTTCCTTAAGGCATTGACTACTACATTATCAATGTGCGTGTTTCACGAGTGTTCATTTGTGACTAGCATTCATAAGTATTTATAGTGCTCAACCATGAAAACTTGGTCCCCCTAAGATAATGTATGTGAAGGGCAGTGTTTTAGTTTTGTTAGTGATTCTTGAAAAAAACAGTTTCTTTCAAAATTATTGAGCATTTGCCCCTGCTAATTTCACCTGATCCTGTACGCAACTCACAATTTTATACAGCATTCAATCATCTGCATACAACCTAATACTCGTTGAAACGTTAACAATGTCGTTTATAAACACTAGAAAAAGCAGAGGCCTGAAACAGACCCCTTGAAAACTCCAGAATCAGTTGGTACACTTTCAGAAGGAACCCTATTGAACGATACAGACTGGCAGCGTCTTGAAATGTGCGCCCTAATCCCATTTAACTTTTTTCGTTCTTTATTACAGAGTTTATGAATTTTTCACTGAAGTAGATGAAAAAAATAGAGTGCGAAATCGAATGGCTTATCTAAATGTTGCGTCTATGAAGTTCCTTTCTGTGCAACGCAATAAATCACAATCTAATATTTATGACAAAGCAGCAGTATGACCGAGCAGCCAGTGCTGCTTTCATATTTATGAATGCAGCACGGGCTCTCCACAGTGGCGTCGCGGAGAGCCTGTGCAGAGCAATGCTAATTACACTTCTAGGTACAACTCACTTCTATGCTATTGATAGCAGGAGAAACGGGGGTGGGGGATGCAATCAATAAGGTTTGAAAAGTGATGCATATCTTCACAGTGCCTTTAGGGTTTCATAAAAAAGATAAATATTTTTTAGGTGGCCCACTACATGTGCGAAAGGAAATATTTTTCATTGAAACACGCGAGAAAAAAAATGCCAAGGAGGAAGTTCACTGCCCCTGTAGATGTTTCATTGCTGCATTGCTTCTTACATATATTCCACATAAAAACATGTCTGTTAATGAACTTGATTGGACTGCTTGCGGAGCAAAGATGCCTTATTTCATAAAACAACAGGCGGTGAAGCACTCTTTACAAAAAACGTATTTTGGAAAGCACCGCTTCAAAAGCCGCTGTGGCCCAAAAGCGACACTCCTGCGCAAACGAGAGAGTTCTAGGAGACCCACAACCGCTAAGGTGATTCAACATCTCGTTATGTTGCACAGGAAGAAAGAAAAGCTTGTTTTTTAGTATGCTTGTATAATCGAGTACTAGAGTATGCATAGCTTAGCAAGGATTTTTTTTTTTGGTGGCAAGGGGATTTTGAGGCATGCTGTAGCGAAAGGCAATAATAGCGGCACTGAACGGCGGAACTCACTAACTCACTCACCGCTTTTCGATCGGCGGCCGCCGTCTCGCCGCGGCTGGTTGAGTGAGACACGTGCATGGCGCTTTCTTGGGCAAAATGCCTGGGTGTTTTGTGCCACAGTGCACAAACCACTCGCGAAATGACTACAGGATGTTCAGTTTCCCGAAACATCCGAAAACGCGACTCTTGTGGCTTGTAAAGATCAAGTGCGAGAAGTGGCAACGTACAACTTAAAGGGGTGTCACACGGGCACTGTTAATCGTAATAGAGCTTGATGTGATGGACTCTCTTACACCAGCTGCAGAACGACGCCAATCACTTGAGAAATTCGATACTGATCGGGCTTGATTGTGATCACCAGTGCACCGGTTGCAATACACGCTCATTTGC